GTCTCTCTGTCATTGCTTCCAGGTTTTGAGAAGCCATCAGCGATTCAGCAAAGAGGGATAGTCCCATTCTGCAAGGGGCTTGATGTGATCCAGCAGGCTCAATCTGGTACCGGAAAGACTGCAACTTTCTGCTCTGGAGTTCTGCAGCAACTTGATTACAGCCTTGTCCAATGTCAGGCACTGGTTTTGGGTCCCACCAGGGAGCTTGCCCAGCAGATTGAAAAAGTTATGAGGGCTCTCGGAGATTACCTCGGTGTCAAGGTTCATGCCTGTGTCGGTGGTACTAGCGTTCGTGAAGACCAACGCATTCTCCAGGCCGGTGTCCATGTCGTTGTCGGTACTCCTGGTCGTGTCTTTGATATGTTGCGTAGGCAATCCCTCCGTCCTGACTACATCAAGATGTTTGTTCTTGATGAGGCTGATGAAATGCTCTCCCGGGGTTTCAAGGATCAGGTTTGTAATTTGTTGTTTATTACAAAACCCGATTCTTTCCCTTAATGCCTGCTGTAACCTGAGAAAGACCCAATAACCGATGTTTCTGCGTTTTTTCAGATCTACGACATCTTTCAGCTCCTCCCACCCAAGATCCAGGTCGGTGTGTTTTCAGCCACAATGCCTCCAGAGGCTCTCGAGATCACAAGGAAGTTCATGAACAAACCCGTGAGGATCTTGGTGAAGCGTGATGAGCTTACCCTCGAGGGTATCAAGCAATTCTATGTGAACGTTGAGAAGGAGGAGTGGAAGCTCGAAACACTCTGCGATCTCTACGAGACTCTGGCCATCACCCAGAGCGTGATCTTTGTGAACACCCGGCGCAAGGTGGACTGGCTCACAGACAAGATGAGAAGCCGCGACCACACGGTCTCGGCCACTCACGGTGACATGGACCAGAACACTCGAGACATCATCATGCGTGAGTTCAGGTCAGGATCATCCCGTGTCTTGATCACGACAGATCTCTTGGCCCGTGGTATCGATGTCCAGCAGGTCTCTCTGGTCATAAACTTTGACCTTCCGACACAGCCGGAGAACTATCTCCACCGTATCGGAAGAAGTGGAAGGTTCGGGAGAAAGGGTGTGGCCATCAACTTCGTGACTCGTGACGATGAGAGGATGCTCTTTGATATCCAGAAGTTCTACAACGTTGTCGTGGAGGAGCTTCCGTCCAACGTGGCGGATCTTCTGTGAGGCACAAAAGAGGGGGAAGTGATTTGAGTGTCTGTGTTGTCCGGAGAAGAAGGTTGCTTGTTTCGCAAGGTTCTATTTGATTTTGACCCCGCCAACTCTCTCTAAGCGTTTCCTGTTTTATCATTCTTCTTCTTTCGCGTCTCTTCCGTTATATTTTTGTTTTTTATTTTTAATTTTCTAGTGTTCTCGGAAGGAAAAAGGTCTTTTTTAAAGAACCATTGTTGTTTCCGCCCTCCCTCTTATGAACATATTTCTGACCATTTTTATGGAGTATCATCTTTATATTTTTGGTCTTTCCTTAGGCTTCCATGAGTATTTGCGTGGATTGAACATGGCGTATTTACGCATTTATATAAATATGTATATATATATATATGTGTAAGTATGCCTCAGAAGTTGTGAAATTCTTATTCCAAGAAGACTCGTTGACAAGACTTCTCGGCCATGACCTCAGAAACATCATCAAAGCTTAAAAAAAACACAGGAAAGTGATTGTTTGTTTACGCTGACTTGTTAAATGGTCGGAAAGTGATATCAGAAGCCATGGATCTTGATGTTGTCTTTCTTCACAAGCCCCGCCTGTTTCAACCCACAAAAACCACGTTTGACCATTTGATGGAATCAACTTTAAAAAAGAAATGATTTCAAGAGAGTGCCACAGTAATTTGACCTGAACGAGGAACGTGGATACGTTTTTCCGCTGGTCACCTTGAAGCTGGATCACCTAACATGAAAAAAAAAATGACAATATACATAAAGAGGACCATAAGCAACCGATGAAACTTTATGGCATGGCAAGAGAAGGGCATATGACTTGCTCCACACCCGTTTGTCACGATATTTCATACGTAACGTTTCAACACCCTTCAAGAGAAACACACACCTGTCCGAGTTCAGGGTCCTGAACTACAGTGCCATTGCAGCAGAACTCTTTCTTGAGGTCCTTTAATATCTTGCTATAGCTGTACTCTTTCTTCAGTCCCTGCACGGTTGTCAAGCTTTTCCTACCATTTCGCTGCTGGACACGGATGTGCACGTACTCCTTGGAGCCAG